AATACCCGCCATAAACCGGGACGACAGTTCCTCCTCCTTCCTCCTTGACGGATCCCAGCAGCTGTAAAAAAGCTGCTCTCTTAGCAACACTTGCTCTCGCTATATAATAAAAGGGGATTCCCCCCTCCCGTCCCAACTATACTTCCCACTTTTATACTTTATATAAGCAAAAGTGTAAAGGGACCTTGATTCGGGAGAAAGTAGATTCAATTCCTCTTAGGGTTAGGGTCCATAAAGGCTCCTCTCTCCTCCCCCCCTACCTAATGAAATCTCTAGCTATGAGTTATACCATTTTATATTGCAACTTATATCTTTCTCCTCTTTATGTCACTCGATATAAAGTCTCACGGCGATGAAATAAAACGGAACAAAAGAAATGAGATTACCTTTAATTTTCTGCCTTAACCATTTGATGCTCAAGCCGAAATCCGTGAGAGACGCCAACGAAAAATATTTTTTTAAAACTTAATCTTCATCGAATGGTCTTGTCATGGACAGTGATGAGCAAAAAGTTATTTCAATTACAATAATGCTAAGCAATTACTGTAACCTGGAATTTCAGAAATAAAATTACACTTCGAAATAATTGCAATTAGTGAACGAACCACTGTAATCGTAATTGCAATCCGCAGTTGGGATCATAAAAAAATTCTGTCACATTTATATCACTGGATAATAACAAGTTCAAGTGATAACTAAAGTAGATATTTTTTTTCTCATGGTCTATTCTTTTGAAAGTATACTCACCACTCATTGTTTAATAAAATTTTCAATTATAGACCCCCCTTCATCTATAAAAAAACTTGAAATGTTTCGAACTCCCTAGTACTGTCACAACCCAGATGTAGTAACATATCTTTTGAACTCCTTGAACTACTTCATGAGGAGACCTCTAAAACTATGACTATATGAGAGATAAGGTTGATATTCAAAGGAAGAAAAAAATATTGATAAACGCCTAACCTGACAGAAAAGCGCCACAGGTGTTGGTCCTCACTTTCAAGCGGGAGGAGGGAAAGAGGGGGAGGAGGCAGATGTGCAAAACAAGCGTTGCTGGCAGATGATTGATAAACTGAAGTTTAATAGATATTAAGTAGTTACTAGTTCGCGTCTCGGTGCCGGAATGCTTTTAACTCTACCATTAATACCTCGCCCTCTCCCTCTGGTCCGGGGAAAATCCTTGTATAGTTTAAATGGCGAAGTATAGGTGGAAAAAAAAAGAATATCCTCACTTCCTAGAAATGTTGTTTTTTATCTAGATCACTCCCTTTTTAATGTAGAGACTAATTATTTTATTAAAATTTTTGAAGTCTTTTTTTTATAATCTCATTTTCTAGTCCATTAGTTTTCCAATAATGGTAACCAATTTTAATCAAACTTTGTACATTTAATGAATGAATTACTTTTTATGGTTTTGGGAATATACTTTTTTTTCATATATTCCTCATCATTAACTAAATTCGAATGTAATTACCAAAAAATGTTATTTACATATGTTTTTGCTTTTTTAAAAATAAACTTATAACTGTATAATCATAAGGTGGTGGTGTAACAGGAATCTGTAAAGTAGAAGTGATACGCTGGTATATTACACTTTTAAAAATATCAATAAAACAGTTATTCCTACGAAGACAATTACCATGAACTACTTTGTAGCCATTCTGTCAGTTTCCATTTGAGCTCTGATAGAGCTATTTACGTTCAATAGGTCCAGTGAAACAAAAATAACTTATTTTTACAAATATATATATATATATTTAAATCAATGTTAAATTTTATTCCAGATCTTATTAGTTTATATCTTAAAAGGTAGATAAACTATTACTTCGGTAATCGGGACATCTTATCTGTTATATTAAATCATGTTTTAAACTTTCACTTTTATTGCAAATTTTAAGCTATCATTAGTTACCAAAGCTATGATTTGTTTCTATAAACTATGGGACCACTGGTAAGTACTGCAATAATGCAAGAATGTAGATCTTCATACATTTTTGAAAACTATTATCTCGACTATTTATGATATTGAAGTGAAAGTTTAGATGGTTAATAAGGATCGAAAGGAGAAATCCTCATTAATTACAGTTATTATATTCATTTATTAAAGCAGCCTGGCAATACAGATATGCCTTATGCCAAGAATTTAATTATTAATTGATGAATAATGTTTAAGCCGAAAAAATTATTTATGTCATTACATTAAAATATCTATATTAAAAATTTATATATTAAAATTTTATTGTGTATTTATAATTGTGATATTAAGATTTTATATATTTTGCTTCTGTATTTAATAGCATTTACATTGTATTTATTAACTTTAACATAGGAGGTTTTAGTTTATATTATTGTATCAATAACACTTGTTTTACCAAGGCCAGCCTCCGGCTGACGGTTTTAAGAACCAAGCTGTAAATATTTTTTTATTGAGCTTGGATACTTTTGTTGTTTGTTATTGTATAAATACTCAATAAAAAAAAATCAATTCAAATTCATATTCACTAATAAATTGTTGAATTTTCTTTGCTATAATTAATGTTTAAGGGAAAAAAAAACATTTATTTATGCATACTTTATTGTTTTATCATGTGAAAAATACAAATTAAAGTGACAAAATATATAGATACGCAAAACATATAAATATATATAGCTAGGCATAAGGTAATATATTAAAATTAAATCATTAATACTGTCCATTAAAAAAAAAAATTAAAAGTTAAAAGAAAAAAAAAGTACATATAAGTTACTAAAAACCTAGGTGATGGTGATTGGAGATACAACAATTCGATTGGACAGTAAAAATGTTTTACTGCCCAATTGCATATTTTGTACAATGTATACAATAATAACTTTTATAATAGGTCATAACCATCTGCACAACATTATTTTATTTCTTCGTTTATACAATAAAACAACTTATATTTACATATTACTTACAAATATAAGCCTGCCTAATTTGTACAATAACATTCTTTCATGTAAACCTCCTATTCCAGATTTGGATAGATGAGTTCTAACTCTTAAATATTAACCAATTTTTTAATAAAAAAAACACAAAACAATAAATGGAATGTACAAAGGAATGTTGGGAAAAAAGTAATAATACATTTTATAATTATTTTCAATTTGAAATCTTCTCGATGTTTTGTCAGACTGATTCTTATTGTAAAAACAAAACAAAAACAACTACATAAAAATAATAATAATAATTTAACCAACAGGAGGCTCCAAACTCTTTACAAATACCAACAAACTTAATTTCGAAGCCCAATGGAAGCACTATTGCTCTTAATTATAATACATTATTTAAAATATAAATTATTTATTGTAAGCGGAAACAACAGGTAATGATTTGTCGTAAGATATCGTCCAGAATCAATCTGATTCACAAGAATATCTGGAAACATCGAAACTTAAAAACCAATGATAAAATTTAATTTAACATACTGTAACGGTATTAAAAACAATGGTGCTGTAAAATAGTATTCTACAGTGCGGTACATTAGTGATATATACTATTATATATATATTTATATAATAACTATATGTACGCCTTTTTTTTTAATTCAGCTCTATACGCAAGCCGTCCGATTTTAATAATTTTTATCACTAACCTATTGAACTTCAAAGATATACACTACTGCCAACATTGTAATGTTTGCAATCATAGAACAAATTTATCTGCTATGTTTTCAAATTTATATTCATATATATATTTTTTATATAGTTCTTATACATGATTTATATATATATGATTCAATTTATACCAATGTATGGCGATTTATTATTATTAATAATCACAGTTACACTTTAGTGCTGCATATTATCATATGCTAGTAATGAAAGCAAAGTTCTTTCTATATATATATATATATAATTTCATAGCTTACTATATTAAGACAGGGAGGGGAGGGGGAGAGGGGAGAGAGAGGAGAGGAAATCATGAGGCAGAAAAAATCAGATTGAGCATTGTATTATTACAATTTTTTTTTTCTTCAGTAAAATCTTATAATGGCATTGCTACTGACAAGAATGATAACTAATTATAAACTTACTAATGAATGATAATTTATCAAAATATGTATTCGCACTATCTCGGCTTAAAAACTTCTCATCTTATAAAATAATATCTTAAAATACTTAAATAATACTTACAGTACACATATTATTAGCATAACTTTCAGTATGCGCTATAAATAAATTAAAACAAAAATTACATGTCTTTGGATACAAAAAAAAAAAAAAAAAATCTACAACTAAGAAACAGGCTAATAAGGATTGGGACGCGTTTTTTTCTTAATCTAAGTTTTTATTTTTTAGTTCACTCTACATGGACAACTAAGAAATATAGATATTTGATCATTATGAAAAACACAGAAAAATAAAATAAATAAATAACGATGCCCAAGAAGTATTATGAATTGGGTGCCCCATCAGGCAACAGTTCTGAAGGAAAAGAAGACTGCAATGGGATAAGAAGGGAATTACACAAAAGTATTTAATACTTTGGAATGAAAATATTTTTTTTTTTAATAAATTTATAAAATTTAAATTTAAAAAAATATAAACTTAAAATGTAATAAGCATAATTCAAAACAAAAAATTCAAATTCCTATAGTTCATAATGTTGGAAAATGCTGAATATAATATAATTTTTTTTTTTTTACATATGGAATGTAATTTAATATACAAATTAAAATTAAATTTTCACGACTTTGAATTATATCACATTGGTTCAGAGGCAGCGTATTCGACTGCTAATACAGAATGCCGCATGATGCAGCTCAAAGGAATGTAGAGGTTTGGGACAATACTTAACAAGCGAAAGCCATTCAACAAAACGGTAACAGGGATGCGTAAAAACGATTATAATAAAGAAAGCTTCTCAACAAATCTTTTTTTTTACGATATCTGCTACGATCTTTGAGCAAGTCAGGCATCTTCACTTAATACAGCCGATGAAGCGTGTATCATCGATATAACAAACGGTATTCGCTAGTTCATCTTCCGCGCTCCCTAGCCCTCGTGTCTTGGCTCTCGGTAAAAAACAACAAAGAGAAGTATCCATTTATAACGATACCGCTATCGAGAGAATATTCCAAAGATAATGTTATCAAAGTAGCCTACACGACTCAATATTAACATATGACTAATAAATATTGGATATTAAGGAGAGAGAGAGAGATAGAAAGAGAGAGAGAGAGAGAGATAAAGCGAAGATTAAACTGTCCCTATACTGAATGGCTATATAATCTAAAAGGGACCTAACTTCAATGCTTTGTCTGAAGAATGAGTGAAGTATCGGACTGAACTTAGGATGAACTGGACTGAACTGTAGTGAGACTGATGAAGTGGTGGACTGATGGACTGAGTTTGGGATGGGGCTCACCTGATGGGGCAGTATCCCCAGTCGTACCCTGGTCACACACAGTCTTCCAGGGACATCAGCAGAGGGTTCACGTACTCGAACCCTTCGAACTCGCTCTGGTCTATCTTCTCGATAACTCTTCTGAAAAAACAAAAAAAAAAAACAGATAGAATTAGTTTATCTAACAACATCATTATTATTAATGCACTCATTATAATTTAAAAGTTAAATGCTATAACTAATAAAAGTCATTGTAGTTGTCTTAAATCCTTGCGTATATTCTTATTCTTTGGCTTAGCAACAAGAGCCTTTTTCCGATGACATGCGGGTGTGAAAACTGGGTACTTACAAAAGAAAGATAAGCGAACCTGTCTATTAAGATGGACGGTGGAGGTTAAAGAACGAAGGACTGCGACACAGGTACCAAGAACAAGGCGTCAATTAAAATGGCCGGGTCATGTAGGAAGGATGCTTGAGGGTAGATTCCCTAAAATATTTTTTGAGGGAAAGCAAGGAGAACGTCAACAACAAAACAGGTGAACAGATCACGTCGAGAATATACTCAAAGTTTTAGGAGTGAGAAGATGGAGAAGACAAGATCTGAACAGAGCAATGTGGCAAAACGTTGTTAAACTGTTATACAAGAGACCCGAGTTCTTGAAGGGCCACAAAAATCAAATTTTTTAATAAAAAATTAGGCAAAATAGCTAATAATATCAATCTTAGTTAATAGATGTAAATAATTAGTGTAACCAATATATTTTTGCATTTAACTCTTGTAGTTTTTCATTCGGACTTAGTTAGGTTTCTTCTATCTAAAAAAATACAGTAATATCTGTACAGTAATTAGCTAATAAGTAACAGCAAGACCAAGAACATGAACAAGAATGAGTTTAAAATACCAAGACTCGTCTCGGTCTCTCATTTGGGCAACGCTAATAGTAATTAAAAATAAATAAACCGAGAGAGAGAAAATAAAATATAAATAAGTAAAATATAATAAAAAATAACAAAGTGCACATGTGTATGTGCAGGCATAAGCCTGAGCTTCAGTCTACGAGGTAATGTAGATCTCATATTGTAAGATTAACCCCTACTGGGTTAATTAAGTGTTGTAATTTTACACTAGTATTCTAAATAAGAATAGTATTAATATTTTTTAACTTTAATTAAAATTAACGATTTTGCAATTTCTACACAAAATATGTCCTTATTAATGACTAGCAATGAAGCATGGTAGGCAAAGAACGAAAAAAAAAAGAAGCTATAAATAACAGTAAAGAATAACCGTAACAAGTACTTAGAATAACTGAATAAAAATAAGAAAACAAACAATAGGACAATTTATTAAAGGGTTATTTATCATAAAGCATTGGAACGTGACCAACAATGTCAGCTCCAATTATCGGAAGTGGGATCAGGAACTCCGGCCTTAAGAATTATGAACCTTAAATCTTCCTTTCATTCCCTTGTTTATGTTCCTCGCTGGCGGCACAAGAAAAACTGCCCCCTGCCCTTGGGTCATAATCCCAAAACACTCTCACTAATTCCTAACAATGGATTCCCAAATGTTAATTCCGAAATATTGGGCAATGCTATTCAATAGATAAATAGGATTAACATAAGAAAATTTCAACTTATGGGTTTTTAAGTTGTGAAATGGTTACGAAATGGGAAGCAACATCTAGAATTAAAGTCCCTTTGGGTTATCTACTAATGACCAACTTAAGTTTAATACTTTCCAACGCAATCGGAGAAGTAATGTTAGTTTCAATGAAGAAGTGATCAATGCTGAACACAATGGTGTCTAAATTATAAATGGGGAGATACATAGGGATCCGCCAGATGCATAGCTGTCGCATAAACATATTTCTAAACCATCAATATTTTCAAGATGTAACTCCATAAAGACAAGATGAATAGGATAACTGAACAAAATCCAATAGATTACGGTGATATGGAAGAGTTTATTTCAATTCAATTTTCTAGTACCCCAGAGCGAAATGAAGCCGCCGGGTTTGTTCCATAAAGTTTCCGTTATTTATAGCGAGAGGGTCATGTAGCCACTGTACCAAGCCTAGAGGGCTAGGGGCAAGGATCAAAGTTCATTTCGTAATCGACGGAGGAGGAAGAAAACTGTACGAGACAGTGAGGAAAACCTCCATTAAGATATGATATGCTAACATAATATAATAAAAATAGTCCAACTATAACAAATCTGTCAAGGGTTTCGTTGATTTGTCTCCTATGTTTCCAGTCTCTAATGTATATTTTCTTTACCTTCATTATTTATAATCATAGGCCATTTTAAAAAAAATATATATTGTCTTTTTCAACTTCCAACATTAGATATATAACAGCCGATTTTATTTGAGTCATATTTCTTCTGTCCAATAAGCGGAGGTTGATCTTTAAATGAGTTTCACCCATAATTGCTCCAGAATAGCATATATAATAGAGTGAGCTAAAGCGTGTGTACACAGCACCGCTCGTTGCCTGGCAACCCGAATAGAACATAACTTGATAAAATAATAACGAGTTTGCATCCTGGTGCCAAGGGGGCTTTTAACTCTGGCATAAATTCTCCGCTCATACCCCCTGGTCCGCGAAAACCCCATATAGCCTAAAAGGCTAGGAAAGGGAGAATAAAACAAAAAAGATTGAAGTATTATAGTTCGAAAATCCTCGAACAGCATACTTTCTCAGCAGTTGTACAGGTACCGATTCTTCCCATGATTCCTATATGATACATTTCGTTCTCTGACTACTCCGTGTACCATCCTTCAGAGTCTATATCATCACAGGCTATATAGTTTGTTTATATTGTTATTTTATAGTGCTAGTGTTGTTTATAATCATAATGCTTCGACAAAGCCTCAACCAAGGCAACATGACTACCGAATATAAAGTTATAAATTATTCTGGGAAAAGATATAAATAAATAAAAAGATTTAAATTTTTAATATTTTGTAATGTTTACTTTTATTGACGATGTGATAATGATTACTGTTAAGAGCGTAAATAACAGATGGGAAATATCATGAATTGGAATTCGTGTTTTTTACATATCATCCCTATCAAGAATCCCTTAAGAAGCCTTGTATATTTTATTAAATAAATCTGATTTATGATTTCATTAAAAAAAAAAAAAAAAAATACTAAGGGTTTCAAGTCTAACAAGGGTTTAGAATAACAAAATATCACATCAAATTATATTACATAATGTAATTAAGAACATTATAGTATAGTATGATGCATAACACACAGTTGCCATCTTTAAATATTGATTAAGAGGATCAGGATTTTTTTCTTGTAAATACTCAATTTTGTGACCCATTCTGCTAAAACGTACAACCAAAATGTAAAGTAAGGATGAATTAATGTTTTGCAGCAACATCTCGTTGGGGATAGTGATGAATTCTAATAAGATTTTCACACTATTGGTTTTATTTGATGTCAACAGTATACCCTATATGATAAAACTTGTACAAGCTGATAAGGCTACATGGTGCATATACAATATGTGTATAAGCCGCTGGTATATAAGGAAGCCGGGAGGAAGCAGCTTGATGTGAGAACGAAATAACAACCAAGGCCCCCGCAGAAGAGATAGGGACACCGATGTGGACCATAAGCTGTGGTATGGTGGAGGAGGAGGGGGGGGGGGGGAGAGAGAACTAAATAAGAACGATAAGGAGGAGGACCCGAGGCAGGCTAAAAATGCCCAGCCCCTCAGGCTATTGTTTGCTGACCGTTTGGGGCCAACACCTCTCTCTCTGTCTATCTCAACCTGCTACCACAATAATACCAAATTGTATGAGCCCAAGCAACCTCTTGGTAACAACTGCTAAATATAAATAAAAAACACTTTACATTAAAAAGATGGTGCTCAAAGATCAATTTTGCCATGTTAATCTTAATAGGTGGGTGGTCAGTATGAAGTATATTTGTATATATTTTTAAAATTATTTATATTTGTTTCACTTTGGTATTTACTATATAACTCTTAACCTTAGTCTATACTAATTGCCTTTGGGAGAGAGAGAGATAGATAGGTTGTCTTATTATTCCATAAAGAAATAGAACTTAAAAAAAATGATCATTGACGGTACCATGTAAAAGTAACGAATGTGAAACGTTAAGCAGGCTCAAGTTCGTTACTTTAACATGGTTCTGACAATATTTAATTCCTTATATATATATATATATATATATATATAATGTTAGTATATTCAAGATGTGGGGTAATGGAATTTAATTCGTGTTGTGAGAATTCTATTTTTAGTAGTCTGGGAAGAGGGAGGGGCCTATGCTAAATTATATTTATTTTATGCTCCTAGAATATTAAAATGAAATATGCATAAATATTCATACTGCTGGTCAATCAATATCTTGGGATATGAAGGCAAGGAGATCAAGATAGGTGATAGTAGATAGAGTTGCGCATGTAGCTCGGAGCCATCCATTGGGAAGCCTCTACACAAAAATGAATGTATCAATAGTAGGCAAGAAACCAAAATGATGCATAGATCAAATCAAGAAAAATTCGATATAGCTGATAACAATTACAAGAAAGAAATAACTCAAGATAGGCAGAGAGGAAGAACGCTGGTTAATATAAAAATTATCTACAAGATCTGTAATGCACTAGAAAAAAAAAAAAATTTAGAATAGTTCAACTTTCATGTGATGATAACCAGCATTTTGTGTTGAAACTTCTGATTTTAATCATTATTTTTTAATTTTTGATGAGAGTCTATCCGGAGACTATCTTATCCTTATTGGGAATTAATATGACTTATTTGAACGTTGCATTAAATTAATAAGGAAAAAAGGAAAATTTTGTTTGATTAATTGGTCTTTACTGCAACTAGGGCAGAGGTTATCCAATATTCTACAAGTAACCAACTTATTCTAGCTAGGGTGGGAAGGTCCAGATTTACAGCACAAGTACGCCATGAAGTAGATGACAACCTTCTTGGGTCGGATTCGAACCGTCAACGCTTCTGATCCGAGGATGCCAAGGTGATACCTTAACATGCTCAGCCACCACGGTAATGATTTGAATGTTTTAACCCAGGACTACCAAACGGCATGTCCCGACAAAGCTATGGTAAAGGTAAATTAAATATATAATCTAGTGTTGATAGAATACAAGTGGCACTAGAAAGGAAGAGTGTAGAAAAAAAAAGCAGGCGGGGCGGGAAGGATGACAAATGATCTGAACGAACAGGAGCAACAGCCAGCTGAGGCGGGTATTAATGGCTATGCTAATGCACACTTAACCCCGCCATGTCATTAGTTATAGCAGCCATCCGATAGTTATAGCACCTAGCACCTAGCCTATTAGCAACAATAGCTGTCCTCTCTTTCAAAGTGTAAAAACATTACAGGACCGTGTCCTCCCAACGTATCTTCCCAACATCCCAACATCTGTCAGTTCGGAAACCGTGCGATTCAACTTCTGGAGGGGGCAGCCTTCAACAGGTCGCCATGACAAATATCTCCAACGACTAGCTACAGGCAGAATAATCAATATCATATACATGTTGAACAACCAATGGTGTGAAACGGGTAGAAAAATATATCATATTTTAACAGGGGTACTGTTAGAAGGAAATAAATAATTGTGAATAAAATTATGAACTACATAAGTAGGCAACGCAACCAGTATATTAAACCTCTCAAGCGTGTTTAAGTCGAGGCTGAGTGTGTTGAAGCGTTACTCGCTTTGACATTCTCGAATCTTGCGGCGCTAGCATGTGCGCGTTGAAATGGAAATGAATCTCGACCTTCCCACTGTAGTTAGAATGTGGATGGTAAGGTGTATTAAAGTCAAGAAAAACATTGGTTTGCAAAGTATAAGCGTAGAAAACTTGACTTTATGGTACGGGGCGGTTTGTTAAAATATGGTCATGATCTCTTCACGAGAAAATATAAATAAAGTTCGTTCTAAAACAATGTTAAGTCCTAACTGTTCATAATTCGACTACAGTTAAGCGGTATCACTTAATAGCCATATATTTAAACAAGTTAAAAGTTAGTCTATGTAAGAAATAAACCTTACGGTTTTTATTTTTATTTTTACTCAACTTATCAATCCCTAAGGTGGTTAGGTCGTATTTATAATATGGCAACAACCATTTCTTCAAATTCTAGCAAAAATTAGATTAGCATTGTGTTTGCTTACAAGGTACAGATGGAAGGGAGAATATCATTTGTTATCGGCATATTTTGCCATATTATTTTTTAAATATAAATTTAAAAAAATGTAAGGTAAGGCAGAAACTCATAAAAAAACGATAGTACTTCAGAGGATGATACCTTATACGGAACGCACTTCTAAAAATTGGTTTGCCAAATTTTTTTCAGGAAATTTTGACACCAATGAAGCTCACCGTCTGACCATCCACAAGAAATTGAAACGAGTAATGTTAAGGTCATAGTTAATAAAAATCTTGCCCAATCAGCGCGAGCGATCAGTCTACTATGGATGACACACCGATATACAAAACAAATCTCGGA